ACGTAAAAATTGAATGCACAACTATCAAAAACAAGTTCGCAGAATCAGTATTGATCCATCCATTGATCAACATCTCTATAGCAAGTGAAGCTTGTTTGCTAAACTTTCCACTTCACCCTCGACCTTGTACTTGATTTTTCAATCCTGGTCTCAGTTGAAGTGTCTCAGGATCAAGCACTATATACCTGCTGTCATTTATCACTACCAGAAAGAGATGGGAATGGTTATCTCAATTGCTCTTCAATGCGTTAGCAGGCTGCCTCCAGTGACGTGTTGGTCTGCCACTGCACATTGTCGTCATTATCATTGTCTGTCTCTTCTTTCTCATCAACCTGACTTATAGTTGGTGAACTTTGATCCTCATCAGAACCACTGGCTTTCTTTTTGTTGTAGTTGACTTTTGCAGGCCCATCCTTGGAATTGGAAGACCCCTTCTTCTTCACTACTTTTCTTCAGCTTCTTCTGCTCTTCATCAGCAGCCTCACCTTCCTTCTGTCGCTCCTTTTCAGCCCTCTGCATTGCCTTATTGTCTTTGGAACCGTTCTTTGGTTCAGGTGGGTTCTTCAAAATGAAGGCTGTGAGTTTGTCCCTTACATCCACATCCGAAACAAAACCACACGCCACACATCTCAGTTGAACCATCTGACTTTTTGTATTTAAGACCTCTGTTTCAGGATATGCAGTATTTCAGCATGTAGAAGTCTTCTAATGATTTTTGGGCATGAAAAGAGAGATCCTCCTCTGTAGTCAAGGAATGTTGCACCCAGATGCAACCACATAATTGTGGGTATTCCTGAAATGACCCGTGATGCATACAGTCAATTCTTTCTGGCAACGGTGAGTTTTTACTTGACATAGGACAATACTCTCCAAGCAACCCAATTGATCCCAAATAGAAAATGGCCTGTTCGGACATGAAAGAAACTTCAATGTTGACACAACGATACACTTCAAGGTGGCAATTTGAAGAGGGTAGATGAACCTGTGAGCTTCCTAAGTAAACCAAGTTAATTAGATAGGAATGGGTTAAAAAATAAATGGTCACATTGTAATACAATGTTATCAGAGAAACAATGTAATGTAGAAAGGGAAAGAAATTGAAATTAAACCCTTCCACACCCTAAAATTTAAAAACTATAACAAACTTAGGAAGTAATTCAAACTCATGAAACCAAAAGCCACCAGAAAACATTGTCAACTATACAAAACCTCCCACTACTACTTGTTCACCCAATAACAATGTGAGTCATGTGACTATTCAACAACATTTTGTTTGATCTCACAATAGGAGAGCCAATTATTGTAAGACTATTTAGGAATGCCAAGGATGAAAAAGATGCGACTCCACACAAGTTACTACATTTCAATAGTTAAGTGAACTTCAAATTTTCAAAACTAATTACGGACAAGGCAAAAGTAAAAAACTTCTTACACAAAAGGGGAGGCTAAGAATAAAAGGAGAAGACCGATTCAATCAAATCAATATCTTGCCATTTTCAGAAGAAACAAGAACAGTTAACGTATGTGGGGAAGACATCGCAAGAGAAGAAAGTGACCTTCGTGCTGCATCATGATCAAAAGAAACGAAAGAAGATGTATGCACCAGTAAACTGTGTAAATAATATATTAATTCCATTTACTTGAAAGCTTCAATTTGAATCTACAAATATTGCAAACTTAAAATATTAGATAATTGGGATGGAACAACTAACCATAAAATATTGCTTAAACTTGTCAAGCTATCCCAAATTTGTTTATTTGAATCTTTTTCTTTTTTTATTTAAAGCAAGACCATAAAATATTTTCCATTGGCACTTTTTTATTTTGCCCTTTTCTTGCGACTCAATTGGTACTTATTTTCTTTTTCTTTTAATTTTGATTTTTTTCTTGCTTAATATACTGTATTTATTTACCTATGCATCTAAAGTTGTCAAGTAATTTCAAAAGGTTATTAATTATTCAATTGCAAATTAAACGAATTGTGTTCCTTAGTCCTACACAGGATGTCTTAGGTTGAAGCGTAATCGACATATATTCAAATAATCAAAGGTATAGTCCAAGTTAGTTTGCAGTAGGCAATACGACAAAAAATTAATTAGACATTTGAATTCATCTGCACAATTTATACTCAAATTTATATAGTGAGAGACAAACACCTGATTGAAAATTTATGGTTGTGAATCTTCAATTGAGTTCACTAATTGAAGATTATCAAATGTATTGAGTAGTGAATCCTATTTTGTGATCATCTTTGATTACCTACAATCCACGGGAGGATTAGATGCGTCGACTTCAAATGGCTCGTGAAGAGTTGCACTTCCAAGAAGACTATTAACATTTTATCAACAGCTAAAGAGAACACATAATATTTCTCTAATATAAAAAATTGGTGACACATAGTAATATATTAAACAAATAATCAAAGGTATAGTCCAAGTTAGTTTACAGTAGGCAATACGATAAAAAATTAATTAGACATTTGAATTCATCTGCACAATTTATACTCAAATTTATATAGTGAGAGACAAACACCTGATTGAAATTTTCTGGTTGTGAATCTTCAATTGAGTTCACTAATTGAAGATTATCAAATGTATTGAGTAGTGAATCCTATTTTGTGATCATCTTTGATTACCTACAATCCACGGGAGGATTAGATGCGTCGACTTCAAATGGCTCGTGAAGAGTTGCACTTCCAAGAAGACTATTAACATTTTATCAACAGCTAAAGAGAACACATAATATTTCTCTAATATAAAAAATTGGTGACACATAGTAATATATTAAACAAGTTTTTTTGAAGAGAAAATGTAAAGAAAATAGTGATTTAAAAATTTGATATCATATTTGAATGGATTAAATTGAAACTTTTTTTTTTTATAATGGCAAAAGTGTAATTTTTCAAAAGTTGAGAGGAGGCACGTGAAGGCAAAAGTGCAATTTTTCCCTGATCCTTAATTCCCTCTACCCCTGACCAAGTCTCCTCCAAGAAATTATAATATTGTTATTAATAAATTGAAATGAAGTTCATAGTACAAGAGGAGATAAAAACAGAGGGAAGTTAAATCCAATTTTGGTCAGCTATAAAAATATAAAACAAATAAATAAATAAAATAAAAATCCAAAAACCCAAGTCATTGATATCATCAAAAACATATAGGAAAACCATTACCCATAAAAAATCAAAAAGAAAAAAAAAAAGAAAAGAAACCCATTAAAGGCGGCTCATGAACCAACCTTTCCAATCCAATCAACAACCTCTTTTCTAGTCCCGCAAATCCAAATGAGACATAACAAAAAATGAACATGGAATAAATATTAAAGATTAAAACAAAAACTGATTTTTGATATTGGAGTTATATTAGTTCAAAGTCCCTATTAACAACTAAGATTTGTTTTAAAGGAATGGACTGGGTAGCTTCAACCCCCACAACTTTCTTTATCCTATTCTTATTTCATTTTTTTTTTCTTCTATTAGAGATCATCACTTAACTGCAATACTACCACCTTAAATTGTTAGATTGATAGAGACACCATTTAAAATACTAGTGTAGTCCCTACAAGGAAAAAAATGAAATGGTTTTTGTTGGGTCTCCATTCTAGCCTTGCAACCTTGCAAGAGAAAGAACTCAAGAATTTCCAATTGAGGTTGTCCATGAATGGTTGGAGTAGGCATTTCAAGGCTTTTAGTTTGTAATAAGGCAGTATCTCATTTGTAATGTTCGAATTCCATTAGTTTCGATTCGAATTGGTGTGTTCGTCCCCATTTGTTGTCTAATTGGAAAAAAATTACAATATCTCTATAAAAAAAAAAAATGTGTACTTCGTGATTTCTGTTTAATGACTCCATGCATCAATTTTACTATCTAGGCATTGAATAGGGAATGATTTTGTAGTTACTATTATTGATGTTCATTGGTTAATGATGTTCTACAATATATATAGTCTATGTCTCTTCAATTGTCCCGCTCAAAACAATTATTTGTCCCAAAATGTAGCACCGGTATTTCTTTATTTTCTCTCTCTTCTTCTTTTCAACATTGCACCTGGTTTTCATTTTCGTAACAAATTTTGGTTAGTTGGGTTTTTTCAAGGGCACTTGTTTTTTTTTTTTTCCTTTTCATTTGGTTGTTGACGCTTCCAAAAGGAAATTTTCTTTCCTAGAGCACCAATAATGAAGCTAAGGAATCTGTCTAACTATTTGGCAAGGAAATAATTCAGCAGGAAGGAAAAATTTATCCTCTTGTGCTATAAGAATGTTGTTACTTCATCTACGTAATCATATAGGCACTCTCTTTCTCTCTCATACACACACATTCACAAAAACCCATTTCTTAGTGGACTATGTAAGCAGTTCTTGTTGTCTGTACGTGTATGTGTTGGTGTTTTCTGAACTTAGTTGAAGGTATTTTTGGAAATATCAATTCTTTTGACACTGTTTGATTTGTTTGAGTTCAGACTGTTATTGGGTATTATTTTTGTTCTCTGTTTCCTTTTTTTTTAAAATAATAGTTTGGTGATTTTTTGTTTGTTGTATTGAAAGTGAGGATTCAAGATCAATCTTTAATTCTTATTGAAGTAGAGCTTATTGCTAATTAAAATTTAAACAAAGGGTCAGGACTTAGGGCATATATATATATATATTGATTTGGTGACTAAAAGGTAAGGTTTGTTCACATCGAAAGCATCTTGCTCTTGTGAATTCAGTAGGAATTGATGGTTTTCATCTTGGTATTGCATTGGGATATGTTTCTTTATTACTTATTTGTATTTGAAAATCTTTTATCTTTCATTTGTGAATTCTAAATTTTTGTTGATTCACTTTCATAGAGAAGTAAGCATGCAGGTTCTCTTATAAACATTTTCACAAACACCTTGTAGGTGTATTCAATGGCTACAAACCTATAATCAATACTACAAAGAAAACAGAAGAGGGGACCATGAAAGCCAAACCTTAGGTGAACATAAGTGAGAATAAACTTTTGTTTATTTCTCTTCTCTGGTTTTCTGTAGATAGGCCTTAATTAAGGTAACTTCTGTGAAAAAAGAGCAGATTTGTGCGACCTAAATGAGGTGCAAATGCAAACTCAAAATGCAGACATCTGGGTATTCCTTTGTAAGCAGTGCAAGCTTCCAATTATTTGTCTACAAGCGGTGCACCAAACAAAGAAGGTTCTAGGAGAGACCATAGAAAGACCCATCAGTCAGAAGCAAGACTTGGATAATCTGGGTTGGTTGTCCATTCGGTACCCACTGAAACACTCCTCCTCACCCACATGGAAGAAGCAACGTGAGGCATGTCATCTCTGGAAAACATACGATACAGAAAGTTGAGAAAACAGAGATATAGATAATTGGACAGGTTGCAAGGCTTTCTTTGAGCACATGGCGCACCAAGAATACAATCAAGCGGTACAATTTGTCTCTTGTAAAGAGTTAGGAAGCAAGCAAGAGCATTAGACGCTTAGCAGCAGGAAGGAAATAGGAATTTGTAGGAGGAATGATGGAATTTGTTTTTCGTCTACTGTGTGTGGCTAATTTGAAGCCCACGTGACCAGCCCAAATCTGCAAGGGAAGAGCTCTTACAAACCAAAGAAGTAGCGGAGTTACACCAAGAAGCAGCGGCATTACACCATTCTTACATACTTTTTATATAGGTTATAGATTTCACACATCTTTGTGCTTTCCAAATTGCTACCCAAATCTATGTTATTGACCAGAGAAAAGAAGAGAATATGAGGATTTCCTTGTTTTTATTCTCATACTTTCAATCATGGTTGTTCAATTTCAGGCAACGATTCATTTTAAACAAATTCTTTGGGTATGTTTGGTTTGGATTTGTAGAGTGATTTCGGGAAAAAATTTCTAAAAAATTTGTTTGGTTTGTAAATTTTCCAAAACAATTTTTAAAATTACTCTCTCTCTTACTTATCAATCAATCACTTTCTCTCTTCTCTCTCCTTCTCAATCACTTTTTCTCTCACACACATCTACTCAATTATAACAAAATATCAAATCATTTCAAACTCCCAAACTCTAAAACTACTTTCAAAATACACAACCAAACAAACCAAAAAAATTTCTAAACTCTCTCCCCAAAACAATTTTTAAAAACTACTCTTCCAAAACCAAACGAAGCATACCCTTTATTTCTGTTAATGATTTTGCTTTTGGATAAGATTTCTAGGATCATGTCTTGCCCCTTTTTGTTAAATTGTGGTTAATTAACCCAAGCATATAGAGCACATGTTGTCTTTGGAAGAAATGTCATTAGTACTGTTTTTGTAAATATGACGATTTTTATGAATGTATTTCTCAACGTAAGAATTGAAGATTTGATGTAATTGGCATTTATTTCACTTTGACAGGGAAAATTGGGGACTGTCGGTTTTACTGGCATAGCAATTAAGTGCAAAGATGGCTGCAGCTTTCACTTCCAAATCGTTGCGTGGTATGTGAGCTTTATAGTTTTTGAAGTGGTGACTGACTGGTTAGTATTTTTGAGTTAGTTGACATTACATTAGTATGACAGTTATCGTTAATTAATTTCATTTCTTCAAGTGTTCTAGTAATTAAGTTCTTAGTCTATTGTACTTCAAATATTTTTGTGCATGAATTTTTGTTCTATTGGTTCTAGTAATTGGGGCCACTGGTTCAACGGTTAGAACTCACCTATTAAATATTTTCTTTGTTGAAATTGTTATGCTCAGCTTGGTCTCCACCCCAGTTCAGCGTCTCTGCTCTACTTGTTCAAGCTTTGCCTGATGCTTCTTGGGACTAACCGAACTGTTAATTAACCTAGCAAGATGTGTATATCAACCAATGATTATAGATTCAATAGACCTAATAAGCTTTGCTTAAGCGTATGTAGAGATCTGTTGTGTGCCTAAATTGATGAAATCAAGCTACTATAGAAATTGCTTGAGAGCATGAAATCTAGAGTAGAGGCCACCACAACTCATTGTGTAGTCTATTCAAGGTTGTTAAAATCGGGATCCTACATTGGATCATTAGAGGTGTTTATAGGATCGGATCATAGAATCTGATCGAGGATCGTAAGATCCTATTGAAAAAGGCAAATTACATAATAATTTAATTTAAATAAATATTTCTTAAAAGGTATACACAAAATAAGCTTATATTCTACTAAAAATAAGTGAAGATACTATAAAACATATAATACTCCATGTAAAATGTAAATATAATATTACATAATAGAAAACTTGATGGTAAAAGTTTTGCATTTCATTAAAAAAGAAGGTGAAGAAGAAGAATTTTATAACATAATACTTACAATATGCATAAAAAGTGAAGAAACAATATTTAACAGTCAGATATGAAAATAAATTGAGAAGTTAAAAGAGCGGCTTAACTGAATGATAAGGTTTGTCATTAGCATCCCTTGTGGAGCGGGTTCAAGTCACGAAAATTGTCTCTCCAAAAATTAGGGTAAAATTGCAATAATTTTATCCTCCTTAGACACCGCTAAAGCCAAGCTTGTTTTCTCAACTACTTAGTTTTCTTAAATTGGTGTTATATTTTTTTGGGTGAATAAAATTGGTATTATATTAAATGTTTGTTTCCTAGTTTGTTTATTAAATTCAAACTATTTTTTTTTTAATATTAATTTGGAGTACATAAATTGATATTTAGATAACAAATATAAAATTTACAATAAAATAGATTATACAATATAAAACAAGGCTTACAAATTGGATTGGATAGGATCGGATTTGGATCGGGATTCCACAATCCTATAAGATCCCATTACCAAGATCGAAAGATCCTACCTATGAGAGATTTTTTACACGATCTGGATCGATTGTGCCCAAATGGATCGTAAGATCTTAGGATCGTAAGATCCGGATCGGGATTCTGATAACCATGAGTCTATTGAAATTCATCCCATCAAAATCAGTTGCAGAACATGAGCATGGGCATGCTTCAGTTCAACTGATTGCATGCTTACTCATGTGGCTTCTTTGATCTTGGGAAAACAATTGCTTCACATGATGTGGATGTGATATGTAAAATTGCAATAATTTTACCCTCCGTAGACACCGCTAAAGCCAAGCTTGTTTTCTCAACTACTTAGTTTTCTTAAATTGGTATTATATTTTTTTGGGTGAATAAAATTGGTATTATATTAAATGTTTGTTTCCTAGTTTGTTTATTAAATTCAAACTATTTTTTTTTTAATATTAATTTGGAGTACATAAATTGATATTTAGATAACAAATATAAAATTTACAATAAAATAGATTATACAATATAAAACAAGGCTTACAAATTGGATTGGATAGGATCGGATTTGGATCGGGATTCCACAATCCTATAAGATCCCATTACCAAGATCGAAAGATCCTACCTATGAGGGATTTTTTACACGATCTGGATCGATTGTGCCCAAATGGATCGTAAGATCTTAGGATCGTAAGATCCGGATCGGGATTCTGATAACCATGAGTCTATTGAAATTCATCCCATCAAAATCAGTTGCAGAACATGAGCATGGGCATGCTTCAGTTCAACTGATTGCATGCTTACTCATGTGGCTTCTTTGATCTTGGGAAAACAATTGCTTCACATGATGTGGATGTGAGATGGCTTCTGCAGGTGATGTCATTTCATTACTCAGTGGCTAATGTGGGTGATTGGATGCAGAAACATACCAGCATAGTACAGATTCGATCATCTGTCTAGTGGTCGATGTTGGGTTGACTTTATGTTTGGATGCATTGTATGACCTGGACTGTGGCATAACTGCATTTGTGGCTAATACCCCTATTCTCACAAATTAAAATTGACATTAGTTTTACCTTTTATGTTGTAGTTTGTCTTGCACGCATGTTTCCTAATCCCTGATTGCTGTCTGTATTTTGCTTAATGTGTTGGTCAACAAAATTAGCTGCCCGTTCATTGTTGGGAGGCCTTGGCAACAATCTTGGTGTACAAGGAATGCCACATGAGATGTCATGCAGTGAGTTCTTGTTTCAGGTCAGTGTGTTTCTTTATTTGATGTTTCTTTCACCTTTAACGTTTCATTTCTCATTGTATTGTGGCCCTTGGTTTTCATGCATTTATCTTTGATGCAAGGTGTTGATTTTTTTTTTTTTTGCTGGCTTTCTTGGTGCGACTCATTATCATTGCTTATTTGAATACTTGTTGGCAAGGCCTTGCAAAAATTATATTTTCACTTTGGCTTCTTTATTCATGATAATATATTTTAATTTATTTCGGAAAGTGAGTGAATACTTGTGTTATATGGTCTTTCAAAAGTGGAAACTTTAGAGGGTGGTTTTTGTATGTTCTTGTGAAGTACTGTGCATGGGTTAAGATAGATTTTAACGTCTATTGGCGTGCTGAAATGGTGTAAATTCAGCCAGGTTGACAACCTGAAATAGTTGGGATAAGGTCTTGTTTATAGATCGAATTTTATATCTTCAAAGACTTATCCCATTCTTTTCTCATGTATAAGATCCTTCAAAAATTTGGTGAGAAGAGATAATTAAATTTCTGAATTTGGAATACCCTGCGTTCAAAGATGCCAAAGGGCAAATTGAGTTGGCAACCAACGAGCCTGGTCTTTAACCATGACTGGGTAATGCCAAGAGTATAACGTTTGAGTTTCTTTTAAGTGCATGTAAGAAGAGGCCGTTCATAAATGCCCATCAAATTGAAGGGTTTTTCTTGGTTATTTATCTGATGAAATTCTTATTTACTTGCCATATTTCGTCAATTGGTCCAAGATGAATTTAGTTAATTTACTAGATTGATATCCTTAAAACATAAAACACCATGTTTGTCATGGTCTCAAGGCTCCCTTGGTCATTTTCACTGGTTAATTTGAATGAATAGTCATTAATTAACCAATTCTTGATGACAGAGAGCAATGCGAGTAGTCTCCAATAAACTTTCATGTCGTGACTCGTGACCTACTTTAATATATCCATTTTTGTAATCTCTCACCTCTTTTTTTTTTTTTTTTTCCCCATTTGTGCAGCAATGCAGGACTTTCATTCAGATGAGGACCAATCTTAAAGTGGTGGACAACTCAGGGGCAAAACGAGTGATGTGCATACAAGCTCTGAAGGGGAAGAAAGGGGCGAGACTGGGGGACACGATAGTTGCATCAGTAAAGGAATCCCAACCTGGAGGCAAAGTGAAGAAAGGAGATGTTGTTTATGGCGTTGTCGTGCGTGCTGCCATGCCGCGGGGCCGTTGTGATGGAAGTGAGGTCAAGTTCGATGACAATGCTGTGGTGCTTGTCAACAAGCAAGGCGAGCCAATAGGAACCAGAGTATTTGGGCCAGTCCCACACGAGCTAAGGAAGAAAAAGCATGTCAAGATTCTTAGTCTTGCAGAGCATATTGCCTGAGGTATGGATCTCTTGTTGTTTGAGACTTCCTGTCTAATTTTCCCATCCTTTCTGTGACACATGAAAGGTGCAAGAAAGTAGATTTTCTTCACAACAAACTGAGATCTGCATTGCTGTTTAATCTTATGTCAAAACCTGTTTATGGATGTTATTCTTATGGAATTAGGGTATTTTTCCAAAATTTGTTGTAAATTACACATCGTTTAAAATTTGCTTTCATGTTTAGTTGATTGATTCCACTAATAAGGGTACTGGTTAGGCAGTTAAATTTTGACCCAATAACTTTAAAGGTTCACTTTGTACTCAGAAGTCAGGTTTCTAGTTAGTCTATCCCTCTGAGGATTTCATTAACGGAGATTAAATTATGTGCACTTTTCGTTGATCAATTCCACTCACTTCTGTACCTGTCAACCCTCCATTAGCAGTGCTTGCTCAGTCTAAGCTTTGTCTTTCAAAAGAAGATTTTGGAGGCTATAGAAGTACAAAAAAGGACATGAAAATTTGTAGACTATTAAGTACAAAGACACTAGAAATAAGATCATGCACGGAAAAGTAGTTAGGTTTGGACAGGGTCTGCTCTCTTACCATTTGTCACGCCCTATAGGTTTCGAATAAAGCTTGGTAGCTCAAAATTTATGGCTCGAATGGCCTGAATTTGATAGAAAGCGTTGGCAACCACTATCTCTCCAAAACCCACTCCAAAAACAAACATGCGCACGTTCTCTCTCTTCTCTCTCTCTCAGACCAGACCCAAGAAAGCTGTGATAATTGTTCTCTTCAAAACGCACTATCTCATCCCTCTTCTTCACTCACACTTGACACTAAGCAACCGAAGCCGATACATCTCAACCGACGCTTCTTCAAAACACACTCTCACCCCTCTCTCATCCCTCTTCTTCGCTCACACTTGACACTGAGCAACAGGAGTTGACACATCTCAACCGACGCCGGAGATTTGGTTAGTTACTCATTATCGACTAGAACAACAAGAATCTTAGGTAAACCCGATATTGCAAAATTAGGGTTTTTGTTTTGATTTCAATTTATGTAGGGTTTTTGTTTTGATTTCAATTTCTGTACAAAATCATAAATTGTGACTGTTTGGGTTTGGATTTTGCCTTTAATTTTTGAAACTAGGGTTTTTACTTTCTATCTCTAGCCTGCTAACTCTGTAAATTGGTCTGTGATCTTTAAAATAGGAATTTGATTCTTCCAATACCATTTCTACAAGTACCCATTTGGTGAATTTGGTTTTTCCTTGGAGAATTTAAGCAAACATTTGATGCTCTCCAGGGTTCTATCAAAAACCCAATTTAGGAGCACTGTTTAGAGACTCTGCGCATTTCAGTTCTTGTATAATTCAAGTAGAATTTGATGCTTTCTGGTCCTGTTTTGGGTAACCCCTAAAGGGTCTATGCAACTACCCTTTGTTTGGGTTTTTGTGCTTTTGATTCATATCTTCAACTTCTAACAACTGGTATATTTCCATATCAAAAGTTCTTTAGACTCCATTATTTCCTAGTTTGAATCTTAATTTGTTCTCATCATTTGTGTCTCAAATTAAGAGATTCAAATAATTATTTTCTAGTTTGAATCTTAAAGCATATTATGATATTCAAATGTGCTTTACACTCCATTAGAACAAGTTTATGAATTTTTCACTCATATTGAGCATATTTCAATTGAAAGCCATCATAGTTTTCCTTTTCGGGGTCTTAAATCTTTATATATATTTTCTTTTGAGGGTTGAAATAAAACTGAAATGTTCAAAGTAAACATTGATGATAAAGGAATAATGAATACTCTTCGTTTGAACATGCAGGTTAAAAGGCCAAGTGCACTCAGTCAAGCACATCTAGCATGCCAATGCCAAGGCAAAGGCCTACTCCATCAAGCAAGGCATTGCCAATTCACCCAAATTCCAGTCAGTCAAGCAGGGGTAGTAGGTTAGTGCCCACTCACCCACATTCCCATCAATCAAGGGTAGCAACCCAAGAATTTTTCTTTTGTTATGTTTGTGTATCAAGGGTAGCCGAGAAAAACAATTGCTTTTGTGGGATTTTGTTTTGTGGACCGTTGCTGCTGCTATTTTATATGATCAATTGAATGTTAGTTTATATTCTTACTATTTTTTTTGTCATTGCCAATGGTTTATCTATGATGAATTTGTTTAATTCAGTTAGTGTTTAGTTGTCAATACATGTTCATTTTCATGTCACATAACTTTACATTACAAATTACCTGTTTGTTTTCATTACATTAGAAAACATTTTGTGTTTAATTGATTATGTTAGTTCTCGTTCCACATTTCAACCAAAACATCACAACAAAAAAAAAGAGTTAATATTCAATTCACAGAACATAATAAACATCACAAAAAACATATTCGTTTTCAATTTACATAACAACATAAATATACAAAACACAGGTTCATTCTCATTTCACAAAACAACATAACATTACTAAACTAAGTTTCACCCCCATTACAATGCATTACTTCACCCCCATTACAAAACATAGCTTCAGTACCTTTCATATCCCCAAAACCCCATACATATGCCCAATTCACATCAATTTCTAATTCCATTTCTCATTTTCAGTGTTACTGGTCAACTCCACTAATGATCCACCAACAAAACAGCACCTAAGAAATCACAAGACATGCTAGCAACCTTCTTTCTCTTGCTCTCTGAATCAGGAGTTGTTCTTGAAGCACAATTGTTCTCCTTAGCAAGCCTAGTATAGCATCTCTAGCTCGAGTGCACATGGGGGGAATCAAACCCTGATAAAGAAGCCACATAGTTCTGGCCTTCATAGACTCACAAATTGCAACGACTAGGCTTGCTATATTGGCCTTCATAGACTCACAAATTGCAACGACTCAGAATTGCAAATTGAAGGTAAACTCATCCAAATAGTTCTGCAGGTTCATTTAATTGGCTACATATAACTGGGCATAATACCAAAAAATTATATTCAATTTGGATATTAAATAAGTAATAATTGCAATAATTGCAACCTAAAGCAAAGATTAGAGCTTAGAGAAAGAAGGGTTCATACATAGGGTTCAATTTGTTTTTTTTTTTCCTCAAAAAGTTCAACTCTTAACACCTCAGGTTGTCAATAGGGCTCCAAATGATTTGTAAAATCATTTTTATTACTACATAATGTATATATTGTTATATAATTTCAATTAATTCAGGATTTTAGGTTTTGTATACTTAAGAAATATATACACAAAAAAATTTAATAAAAAAACACACTAACAGCATACTAAATTCTTGCCAAGCTTCACATTTTTCTTTTTGATCTTAACAGATTTTCCATATACAAGCAAATGGGGTGCCAGATTTAATTAAATTCAGGATTAAACGGGTTCGATGGAGAGAGATGATAGGAGTTAAAGGGGTTTCGAAGATGCATTCCTTTCAATCTCAGGAAAAATTAAAAAAAAAAAAAAAAAATGAACTTAAGAATAGAAGAAAAAAAAAAAAAATGATTATGGCATCAATATGAAATAGCTGCAATCAATTAAAGCTGTACTCATTACACCCCCGCCATACCCAACATATATACAAGCAAAATCACACAAACCTAGAAATCTATTCGAAGAAATCAGAACTAATTGAGAGCTAATTGAAAGAGAAAGAGGGATCAGAAATTTATTTTGCGTTTTCTTCGAGTTTACCTGATTGGAGAAGAAAGAGAATGAAGAAGAAACAAAGAGGAATGAAAACAAGAAGGTCCCAACAACAACAAGAAGGTCGCTGATTGAGAGGAGAGAGAGAGAGTAGTGGACGGTGGTCGACGGTCGCTAATCGACGGTGAACACCATGGTCGGTCGCTCGACTTTAGAGGCAACACAGCTCTATTCTCACATTCAACTTCATGGTTCTCTCTCTCTAGGGGTGTAAAAATGGCCCGAGGCCCGAGGTGGGCCCGACCTGTTTTGGCCAGGATTTGAGCTCAGTCCAATACCTTGGGCCTGGGCCTTGGCCTTCTATTTGTGGCCCGACCCGGCCCAAAAAATTTAATAGTATAACATTAATAATTACCCACCACCCTACCTAGGCTAGCCTAGCCAAGAGAGAGAGAGAGAGAGAGAGAGAGAGAGAGAGAGTGTTTACAATAGTATAATAGTGTAACAATCTACTTACCACCCTAAGCTAGCCTAGCCACTGCCACAGGAGAGAGAGAGAGAGAGAAAGAGAGTAGGAGTGGGCTGCTAGTGGCAGTGCTGTGTGTGGCAGATGACAGTGCTATAGCACTGCTATAATAGCATTATAGCAGCCGAAAAGAGAGGAGAGGAGAGAGGCTTGCTATATTGGCCTTCATAGACTCACAAATTGCAACGACTAGGCTTGCTATATTGGCCTTCATAGACTCACAAATTGCAACGACTAGGCTTGCTATATTGGCCTTCATAGACTCACAAATTGCAACGACTCAGAATTGCAAATTGAAGGTAAACTCATCCAAATAGTTCTGCAGGTTCATTTAATTGGCTACATATAACTGGGCATAATACCAAAAAATTATATTCAATTTGGATATTAAATAAGTAATAATTGCAATAATTGCAACCTAAAGCAAAGATTAGAGCTTAGAGAAAGAAGGGTTCATACATAGGGCTTCAATTTGTTTTTTTTTTTTTCCCTCAAAAAGTTCAACTCTTAACACCTCAGGTTGTCAATAGGGCTCCAAATGATTTGTAAAATCATTTTTCTTACTACATAATGTATATATTGTTATATAATTTCAATTAATTCAGGATTTTAGGTTTTGTATACTTAAGAAATATATACACACAAAATTTTAATAAAAAACACACTAACAGCATACTAAATTCTTGCCAAGCTTCACATTTTTCTTTTTGATCTTAACAGATTTTCCATATACAAGCAAATGCGGTGCCAGATTTAATTAAATTCAGGATTAAACGGGTTCAATGGAGAGAGATGATAGGAGTTAAAGGGGTTTTGAAGATGCATTCCTTTCAATCTCAGGAAAAATTAAAAAAAAAAAAAAAAATCGAACTTAAGAATAGAAGAAAGAAAAAAAAAATGATTATGGCATCAATATGAAATAGCTGCAATCAATTAAAGCTGTACTCATTACAATCCCATCATACCCAACATATATACAAGCAAAATCACACAAACCTAGAAATCTATTCGAAGAAATCAGAACTAATTGAGAGTTAATTGAAAGAGAAAGAGGGATCAGAAATTTATTTTGCGTTTTCTTTGAGTTTACCTAATTGGAGAAGAAAGAGAATGAAGAAGAAACAAAGAGGAATGAAAACAACAAGGTCCCAACAACAACAAGAAGGTCGCTGATTGAGAGGAGAGAGAGAGAGTAGTGGACGGTGGTCGACGATCGCTAATCGACGGTGAACACCATGGTCGGTCGCTCGACTTTAGAGGCAACACAGCTCTATTCTCACATTCAACTTCATGGTTCTCTCTCTCTAGGGGTGTAAAAATGGCCCGAGGCCCGAGGTGGGCCCGACCTGTTTTGGCCAGGATTTGAGCTCAGTCCAATACCTTGGGCCTGGGCCTTGGCCTTCTATTTGTGGCCCGACCCGGCCCAAAAAATTTAATAGTATAACATTAATAATTACCCACCACCCTACCTAGGCTAGCCTAGCCAAGAGAGAGAGAGAGAGAGAGAGAGAGAGAGAGAGAGTGTTTACAATAGTATAATAGTGTAACAATCTACTTACCACCCTAAGCTAGCCTAGCCACTGCCACAGGAGAGAGAGAGAGAGAGAAAGAGAGTAGGAGTGGGCTGCTAGTGGCAGTGCTGTGTGTGGCAGATGACAGTGCTATAGCACTGCTATAATAGCATTATAGCAGCCGAAAAGAGAGGAGAGGAGAGAGAGAAAAATGGAGTGTAAAGAAACCAACAGTTATAATTCAAATCAACAAACCAACAGTCATAATTCAAACCAATGGATACAATTTAAATGGTAATATGTATATATTTTTTTTATAAATTTATTTTACTTTTTAAAATTACTATAAATATTTTTCATTTTTCAAAATAAATCTCACAACAAATAATTCTCTCTCTCTCTCTTAAACTCTCTCAATCTCTCTTAAACTCTCAACCTCTCTCAATTCTCAATTAATTTTGAAGTGTCATCCCCAAGTGATAATTGTAATTTTACAACAAGAAACTTTTATCAGAAGAAGCAAATTTCTGTATCGCATTCACCAATCGGTAACATTAATTAGTTTAATTAAATTTATTAGCTACTCATTTTTTTCATTAATTATTTGTGCACATATATTAATTATTATTTTTTACTGACTGTATTTACACATTATTTAAATTAATTATTAATTCTTGTATATTGTTTTACTTACATTACTATGGATCCTAATATGCTTAATGTTTATGTCGATGTTGATACGTATACTGCACAATATGAATATGTTGATTCTCTTTCTAATATCACTCTTCCAACAGTTGGATCATCATCTAGGAGTATAAGTAGTAGTGCTTGAGAACATTTAAAAAAAATATTTATAAATAATCCTGATGGTACAATTACATTTAAAACAAAATGTAAATATTGTGCACATTTACTTAGTGTTGCACCTGCAGGGGGTACTAGTCATCTAAAAAGATATGCTAACAAACATTTACAAAGTCAATAACCTGATATTTAAAGTCAAATGCAATCAGGGCTTCATCAACAGGTAATTTGTAGATATTTTCATATGATCCTATACGTGCACAAAATTTTGTTGTTGATTATATTATTAAAAAAGAACAACCTTTTACTGTTAGTGAATGTCCCGATTTTATCGAAATGATTCACGAAAGTTTTGCACCGCAATATCAAAGTTTTTCAAGAAATACTACTAGAAACAGGATTTTAAAGCAATTTGAGGATGTTAAAAATGAATTATTTGACATCTTTAAAAATTTGAATGAAAGAATTTGTTTAACATTTGATCTGTAATCAAATAATAGTTTTAAATATCAATGTATCACTACACATTTTATTGATAATGATTGGAAATTAAATAAAAGAATTATTTCACTTAAATTAGTTGAACTTCCATGCACTGGTTATTCGCTTGGTGTACAAATAAGAAATGTATTATATGAATGAGC